GCCCCAGCCTTCTACCTCCATCGTGGATATGGCTGGTAGCGGTCTGAAAATGAAGGGCTATTCCTTTGGAACTAAAATAGTTTTTCTCACGAGTAGAAAAAATAATCTAGTTGAACTCGGAATTCATCTGTTTTAAAAGAAAACTGGAGGGGAGAGCGTTGTGGTGTGTGTGATTTGACCTGAGGAAGAGAATGACACTTCTACAGTTCTTAAAAAATTGCCATACGTGATCACGATTCCTGGAATCCTGGGGAAATGACTTGTTATGGATAGTTGGGATGTTCAGTTTTAAGCAGCAAGTCTGTTTTGTCTCATCTTTTGTTTAAAATCTTTGAATTAATACGACTTGTTCTTCCACCTCAGGAAATAGTGTATAGAACAGCGCTGTCTAATAAAACTCTCGGTGGTGATGGGAATGTTCTGTGTCCCTGCTGTCCAGTATGGTAGCCACTGGCCCCACGTGGCCTTTTAGCCCTTAAAATGTGTCTAGCGCGACTGGGGAACTGAAATGTAAGTTTTAGTTACTTTTAATTATTTTAAATTGGAATAGCCATGTGGGGATACATACTGAACAGGGCAAATATAGAGTATAATTAGCACTTAGTGTATGTCTCTGATTTCAAATATTCCGTGGTACTATTATCCTACAAAATGTGAATTTTGATCTGTTCCCTGTCTCTGACAAAGTGAAGATTACTTCCGGGTAACCCTTTCAACCTCTATCTTCAGTGCAGGCCATCAAGATAGGTGGTTCTGGAAATACAGCTTGAAAATTAGTTTGTTAGGTTGCATTTTCCTTTGCCCTTTCTAGTGTGTGAGCTGTGAGCATTTTCTGGGTAATTGGAGTTGTTATTAATTGAGGTTGAGTTCTTCAGATGATCCAGACCTGATGTCATTAAGCACAAAAAAGTCCATTATAGCCAGTTGAAGCCCAAAAGTGAAATGAGATAATTGATGATTTTTAAGTCAGAATAGTTCAGGCATTATTTGAATCAAAAGGAGACCCATTAACGTGAAAAGTCACTGCAAGCACCTACCTCCTTAAGGGTTTAGGGCTTAGATATTGTTTGACCTTTGACCTGCCTGCTCTTTGAACCCAGTTAACCTTTGGCGGGATTTCAGCAGGAGCTACTTTGATGGTCATTTTTTCTGGTTTTTTTTCTGTCTTCATCCTATAATGCTCATCTCTTTTCTGTTGTTTGGTCTTGTTGTTCATTTTCGGGTTTTTTGGGGTTTTTTTTGGTTGTTGTTGGTCGTTTCCTGCTAAAGCCCCTAGTTCCTTTCCCTTTGCCCTTCTTTGGTCAAAGTATTTCTCTGAAAAATCAAGTACACGTGAAGTCATTTCTACTTGGAATTTACCTGAAGGGGACCCACCAAGATCCAAAGGTCACATCAAAGGGAACTGAAGGAAGGAGATGTGTCTGGATTGAAGCAGAAGAAAAGGAGAAAAAAATTTAAATAATTTAATGTGATTCTGATTACAGAAGCAACTTATGTTTATCGTGGGAAAAATAGCATCTTTGTACAGACACCTGCATCCCCTTCCTGGTTTTTGTCTATGCATATTTATGGGTATATGTTTAAATTACCTCTGTGTTATGGTCGTGTGTAATTTGCACATATGATAGATGATCTTGGTCCTGAATTTTAGTTTATAACATTTGCTCCACCACTAAAGTTTCTTCTAAGGCATACTTTTTTCCATTATTCCTTCAGCTAGATGTAAGAAAATTTAAGTGAGGTACACTTTCTCATGGTATAAATAATGTTGTAATCAACATCTTTGCACGTATCTTTTCATGCATTTTGATGACTCTCTTAGGTAATTCCTAGACGTGTATTTGCAGTGCATATTGAAGTCCTCACCAACAAAGAGTGAATGAGTGGAGAGCAGATTTCAGATTTCTTAGTGACATGGGAGTGGTTCCGGTGAGATAAGAGTTTCCTTGAGGTGGTTTCCTGGACTTCATCGGACTCTTCAGCTCGATTTCAAAGACAGAGCACAGCTTTTGTAGATAGTCTACTTTTGCTTTTTTCCTGATGTGAGAATTCTTTGGGTGTAAGTTTGGGTTTATTAGTGCATTTATGGTTAGGACTGCTATTTGTTTCAGACTGTACTTTTGAGTCTTGGTCATTAGTATCTAGTGAATTTCTTCCATATTCTACTCAAATACATACAACGTTGGGCAGCTGACTAAGCCCGAGTCTTAATGAATTAGAAACACTCTGTTTTCTTCAGTTTACCTCAGTTATGTTACACTATGTGGTGACAGCTACATACATCTACGTGTCACAATTTTGTCAGTTGCAGCCATCTGCCACAGTTGGGGAGTCAGGAAATTAAATAGTCTCAAAGTGATCGTGGAACTTTGAGAGTAACAATCCTGAGGCCAATGTACTTCATTTTGTTATGGAGAATATGTATACAAAGTAAGCTACATATTAAAAGCTGTATATATACGTTAACAAAAAGAAGTGGTAACTGAGAGCGGAAAGGAACCGTTACAATGAGAGGGCAATTTAAAACAGGCATAAGAGCTTTATGATCTCTAAAATGCCAAAGGCAACACACCTCACTGATGGGTGTTCATAAGTCTCATTCTAGCCCATCAGGGAAATGCTATCTTGTGGTTAATATACATTGTTTAGTGCGGTGGAATAATGTCCATTGTGGCCTACCATGAAAATGATAACATTAAAACACATGTTTGGGATTGAACTGAATACACAAGTTTCTATATCTCATAAAATTAACTTATGCAGTACATCTCATTCCATAGTGAATAGTCTTCAGAGTCCAAAGCTTGACTTTTTCCCTGTAATTCAAAATGTGATTTGAATATGTGTGTAGGTATGTGTGTCATTTGACTTATTATAAAAGGAGAATTATTTTGTCAATGACTTTTCCAGAGAATCCTCTTATATCCGAAGAATTGAAAGCAACTCCAATCTGACTCCAAGGTTTGTGTTTTTTCCACATAGTCTCCAAGTAACATCATCCTTTACACCCTTAAAATGTTTCTCAGTAGAAATAAATGTAACGGCAATACGTTCATGAACCGTGAAAGACAAAGTGTGCAGAGAGGCATAGATTTTGGAGACTATACCAGGATATATATCTCTATCTATCTATTGGATTTTTTTTTTTCAGGAAAATCATTGACAAAATTGACTAATTCTTAGTTCTGGACATATAAGCTTTACATTATTGGAAGAGAGTTTGCTGACATGATATAAATGATGGGGCTTCTGATATTGATGTCATGACCCACTAATCATTTGTGACCCACAGTTGAAAAACACTAGCATGGAAATAGAGTGTGTCATCCATCTAGATGATTCCAGGGCTGGTTAATTCAGGGACACAGTGATGCCACCAAAGACTTAAGGGCTCTACATCTTTCCACTTACCCCTTCTGGTCATAATATGACACAGTTCCAGGCATCGTATCCTCAAACAAGTAGATCCAAGGACAGAAGACCACGTGTGTGTGTGTGTGTGTGTGTGTGTGTGTGCGCGCGCGCGCTTAATTGGAAAGTAATCTTTTTCCCCAGAAGTTCTTCCTCTCCTAGAAGACTTTCCTTCTGGCCCCATTCGTTGTTCAGGTTCCATCACAACCCATTCCTAAACCGGTCACTAGCAAAGGGAATAGATGCCATATTTGGTATTGTTGGATATGGTATGTTATTGTAATTAATGCCATAATTGGCATGGAGGAGTGAACACTCATTCCCTGAGCCAGGGTACGGCCTCATCTGTCCTGAGTTTGTGAAAGGCCAGATGCTGGGTATAATTCCAGCTTTGCCAACAAGGAATGAGGGGTGAGGAAAGCTGTTGTGCAGCTAGCTGAGCAAGTCTGCCATTTTTGCCAGGGCATTTTGCCTATAATTCTGTCATGGTGTCAGTGCTGCTCGGCCTCCTCTAATCGGTATTTCTGAGCTTCTTTTATCCCTTTGGTATGTTCTGGGTTCCTTAAGGATGGGAACCTACTGTTTTTACTAGGGTCTGGAATTGTGCCTTATCCTAAAGGGTGATAAATTAATATTTACTATGTTGATTGGAATTCGCTCATGAGAATTGATGAAAAGTTTTCTTAATTTTTTATGGGATCTAAATTCTTTTAAGTCAAGTTTTTTGTTGTTGTTGTTTAAATATCAAGACCCTCCCAGGAAAGTTATGTTTATTCATTCCAGAAAATGATTAAGGAGCCTTGATCATAAAGGTACTGGAATAAAGTTACTGTGGGTGCTGTGTAATGTAAACCCTAAAAAGATTGTTTACAATTCTGTGTGGGTGTAGGAGGAAAAAAGGATTCAGATATAAATATGAGTGGGAAAGAAAACTTGTATGAGTCCATTTTATGCATCTGTTAACATTTTGAAGACTATACAGTACAGTTTATCATCTTAAAAATTATTAAGTGAAAGAAATGACTTGTATACAAAATCACCGCGATTCTCTATTTGAAGCTCCATTTAATACAAGTTTTCTTAGGAAAACTAATTACCCCAATAATTTAAAATTCAGTACATTATTGTACATATCATATAATTTCATTTAAAAAATCTTCTTCCATAGAATGAGATCAAAAGATCAGACTTTGGTTACTAATGTGGTGTGAAGTATAAAGTCAGTGTTCCAAGTCTTATATCTGTTCTGTAATATAAACATTTCTCAAGAGCTTATTTTTTTCAATTTGAAGAATTCTTCATATAAACTTACTTTCATCTGGTTCAGGTTCAGTGACTATACATGTTCATAATTTTTCACTTTATCTACTGTTCTAACTACTGTATGAACGTCTGGGTGTTTTTTTTTTTTTTAATGTTTTGAGATTGTATAAATTCTCTCTAAAAGGGAAAACAGTCCTCATCTGCCTCCAGAATGGTCAACTTTGCACGTGTAAATGAGCAGTTCCCACCTTATTCAAGAGTAGCCATTTATAATAAGTTCCCTGAAGTGACACGAAATTTGACGCGTAATTCAGCACAAACATAGGGATGATTTTTAAGCCATTTTATTGTTTGCTAGTGGTACTGATTTTTAGTTACAGCTTTTACTAAGCGAAGTGATGGCAGGCGAAACTCGTTTTCTTGTGTCATTCTGAAAGCATCTGAAGTGTTTCCTTCAGTTCTCTTCCCATTTTTTGACCTCTTAATCCTGAAAAATAACAACAAAAGGAAGAATCAAAATAATTTACAAATATTCCTAGCGAGTATCACTTACATCACATGTGTGGCTTCCGTTCTGCCAAAGCAATATATAACCATTTAAGATGAATTCTGTAGTATTCAACGTTTCTTTGTTATCTCCTTGTCATTAGGTAGGAGGTATCCAGAATGGACGACCTTGCCTTCAGGACACCTACAGCTATTAATTAATAATAAAATAACAGTAGCTACCCTTCACTGAATTCTTCCTGCACGCCAGGCTCTGAGCTCATCACTTGATTTTATTTTCTGTAAAACAACCCTAAGAAGCTATCAATATTTATACTCCGATTTTACACAGGAGTTTTAAAGAGTTCAGACTACCTGCCCAAAGTCACCTTTCCATACATAGCTCTGCCAAGATGCGAACACATTATAAAGTTCATGGCTTTAATCATTAATAAAGAGATAAATAAATGCATTTTCTATACAGAGGGAGCATTACCTCAGGCTAGTAATCAACTATAGGCACCAAATTATTTGGGATACAATTTCAAATATTCTGTCCCATACTCGCCATAGATATGCTCATAATTGTGAAGACACATATGTCAGATAGTATAACTTCTTGTTGGGAAACTCTGGTAGTTGTACTTGGACAGAGGCTTGAAATATCTGAGTTAGTCACTTTCTCTTATTTTCAAAAAGGGAAAACACCCATGAATTTGAAGTAACTTGTACAATACTGTTTCCCCTTTGGAAGCAGAGCCAGAACTGGAACCTGGGTATGCTAGCTCCCCATCCAGGTCATTTCCATCTCACCCTTCGCTGCTTCTCAGGAGAACATCCTCAGTAGCATTTATAACATGGAATCACATTTGCATGCATACATGCAGTAGAATTATGTAATCTCATATACACAGAATAAGGGTTTGGGAATAGGGATATGAGTCACTTATTTTATTGGCTACTTCCCACTCATTTGGAAGAGTTTTCTGTAATGCAATTAATTTTGTGCTTAATTGTGAAAACTTCTTGCTAAAAGATTAACCTATAGAACCCAGCCCTGAAAAGGAATCTGATAGACTATCTAGCTTCCTCTAAGTTAGATTAAAAAACCGCTCTAGACGGGTAATCTTCCTTTAAAGAGATTCAAAGGGTCCTCAAAGAGATTTCCCACCCACCTTTTGTAGCCTGTTCAATTATTTGCATCCTCCCCACTCTCAAAACTTACCCCCCCCTTTTTTTTTAATCTTCAGTGCAAATCTAGCCTATTCTTGCTACTTAAACCCTTGAAATATAAGAAAAACTGATATTCCCTTATACTGCTATCCTTAAAATTAATGGGTTTCAGTAATACATATTCTAGAAGTTCAGAATAATCATAGAACTTAAACCCACCTTAAAAACTATGCCTCATAGATAAACTTGTTTATAATATAAAGTTACAACACATGCTCAGACTAATAGAGTCATTGACCTGTAGCTACTGAAACTCTAGATCGTGGTTTGTTTGAGAACTTAGAACTCTGGGGGCCAATTTTGCTTTACAACATTTTCACAGATGTTGTCGTGGCTTCAAGGGATACTCACCACTTCTTCCCGCTTGGTCTTGTCTGTTGCTGGCCAAGCTTCCAGAGGCAGGTCAGGAAGCATGGGGGGCAGGGGCTGTATGGGGAACATCGGAGGCAGAGGTGGCTGTGGCGGCAGGGGCTGGATGGGGTGCACGGGTGGCTGGGGCTGGATGGGCTGGTGAGGCTGCGGCTGGACGGGCTGGGGCTGGAAGGGCTGCTGGGCAGGCAGAGGGAGGTTTGGCTGGTGGTGTTGGGTTGGAGTCATGGAGTGTTGGCCAGGAACTGGCATCATTGGTTGCTGGGGGACCACGGGCTGCTGAGCTGGCACCATGGGGATGTGGTGATGAGGCTGCAGGGCGTGATTCGGGGGGTTCTGCTGGGACAGCACGGGAATGATTTGGTGGTGCAGCCATCCACCCATGGGTTCGTAACCATAGGAAGGGTACTGGTGAGAAACAAAGAGTCAGGTTTACCATTGGCTCCATTGACTTCCAACTGGAGAAGTAGTCATGTTGTCTTTGTCATTATGACTATGAATATTTATGCATTTTTCCTGTGCAAGAATTTCTAACTGTGTACACAGATATGACCTTCTACAAACTGGATTTTCCATTAGTGTCTGTATGTGGCATAGATATGTTATTTCACTTAAAAGGGAATTGAAACACATGCTTAATATTTTAAGGGAATAAAGAACAAAAAAATGTACGTACCGGATGCCTTATCATGTTCTGGTACCACTTCAGAGGAGTGAGCACCTTAAGAAAAAGAGACATTCGAATACATTTGCTTTAGTTTAGTTACATGAAATGCACTCACTGATGCTGTAGTCCTGTCGATATCGATAGCCTGAAAGTGTGAGTTCTACAGATCAAAGAATAAGGTAAACATTTGTCAGGTGCTTCCTATGTGTTATGCACTGCATTACATCCATCACACACATTTTTCGTGTTTTCTCACATACTCTGAGGCAAGTATCATCACACTCACTTTTACGGACAAGGTCATGGGGAGTTAGAGAAGAAGTTTATGAGCTTGACTGAGGTCACAGAAGTAGTAATTCTGTTTAGTTCCCCAGCTCCTGCTCTTCTTTGCCAGAGCAAAACAAAACAAAAAAATTAATGTGATATAACGTGAGTCGTGTCTTTTGTTGCTCTGATGTCACAATGCAAAAATAAAGGAGGTGGAAGAACTGTCCCTCATCCTAGAAACACAGGTTTTCTGGTCAAATATATCAACCTCTTAAGGTTTAACAGAATATGTTGCCTCAGATTCTTCTTAGTAACACTTTTCCTCAGGTTACATGTGAGTAAACAGATTCACAGATTGTCGTCTGAGCCTACCAAAGAAGTAGGAGTTTCATTCCTTTTGCAACAGTGTATACTTGGTTACAACCTCAGTTCTGGGGACTCCTTCACATAGTAGTAGTACAGCATTTGATATCAGTACAACAAACACATTATTGACCTTGCTCAAATTATACTCGACAGAACACCTTTTATATTGCATAACCATTTTGCTCCTCAACCATACTTTGAAGTGTGGGTATTATACTTATTTCCCTTCTCCAGATGAGGAAACCAAAGTTTTAAAGAGAGAAAATGATTTGCCAAAGGTCACATGATTAGAATGGGGTTGAGGAGAGCCTCAAACCTGATTTCCAGAAATCTCATGCTTTCCATTGCTCTGCAGAATGTCTCATAGACCACTTGGTCACTGATCATTGATCTTTCAGCAAAGACAAACAAAGGAGACACATAGAGTGTGAACATCTTAGAATTAGGAGTTTCTAGCTGGAAAGGATCTTAAAAAACAGCTGACTCCCCCAACTTTTACAGGCTGAACAGCTTTGCTGTTCACTTTCTGCCCTACCATGCAGCCCCCCCCCCCCGAGTGGTAGTTCCTGATGGATAATTTTATAGCCATATAAGGAGGAGAAACTGAGTCAGAGAGGCCGAGTAGGAGTGTGCTGGGGGCAATGCGGGCTTCAGGCAACCCATCAGGGCTTAAACCAGGAAGCTGGTAATGGGAACTGAAAAAGCGGGACTGAGAAACATCTTGAACAAAGAATCAACACACTACTCTTTACAGAGCCCAGGGCATTGTTAAGTCAAACAATGGTCAAAATTAGTAAAGAGAAAAATTACCTCATAGCTGAAGTTGATATAACCAGGGTGCCCAGGATGAGGTGGTAGCTTTTATAGAGGGGAAAGGAGAAGAAAAAGAAAGAGGGAGAGGGAGAGAAGGGGGGAAGAGAGAGAGAGAGAGGAAGAGATTAAGTCAATATGCAATTGTTCACATTAAGGGAGACTGAAGCTACTTTAAAAAAAAATCTACATGGTGCAGAATATATTTGAGGTCTACTTTTAGTCTGAACATGTACGCTGTGTAGGAGAAGAGCCCTCTTATTTTAAAGACGTCCAGAACAACTAAATGACTTTCCCAAGACCCAGAAGCAAAAACCAGACACATTTATCCTCCAGTGATCTTTGACACCCTCCCCCATCCATGTTGTCAACTAATCCTACTCTATCCCATCCACCATTTTATGTCTTAATGCAACTCACTCCATGTTGGAAAGAGAGATGTGTTTCTCTTACACAATTCTGAAATACCGACGAGAACTGTTTCCCCAACCTTCCCTTATAGATCAGGAGGTGGAGAAGTGCTTAAGTATCCCAGAGGTTCCTCACAATTGGTGTGCAAAGCACAGCAACAACAACTAAGGAAACAACTGCCTGTGAATTATTGATGAACATGAGGAGATGGGGAGGTAAGGTGGAAACATTACAAATCCCATGGAAAGTGAGAGAGTTGATTTCGACTGCTTCTTTTTATTATTCTGTCCCAGTTTTTTATGGAAGAAAAAATGGAAAGTTCAAAATAAAAATCAGCCCGAATAATGATCTAAACCAGGACTGGCTGGCCTGTCAAAAGTGGAGGCCGTGTGACTGAGGACTGCATTGTACAATTCTGGTTGGCCCTGGAGTGGGGGAGAGGGAGAGGAGACAGGATCATGCAGAACATCTCCCTCAGACATCGAGCTAATTAAGGCTCTATTAGTTTTAAATGCTCGTATTTTAGAAGGTTTATTTGCTCTCATCTGAGTGTGAACTACTTTTCGTTAGGGAACTGCCTTTCCTGTGCTTTCTTGATATAAGTAAGCCCTCAGGGAATAGGGGTGCTGACTTGAGGAGTGGAAAAAGGGCTCAATTTGTAATGCAGGGCTCCCTCAGGGGACTAGAAATTGCCACAATGCAGGATTTTAGGAAGGCAGAGCACAGAATCTTGGTCTTGTGGGTGAGAGAGGAAGAGAGGAGGCAGATATGCAAGCTTGGCTGGCTTCTGGTTGTATCAACTGTTCCTTATGCCACCGAAACGCAGTTGGGTCCTGCTTTGCCTGATAGTGATCTAAGCTCTCTGACCTGATGTGCTTATGTCTAAAGAGAATGGGTCAGCCGTCCTGGTCCTTGGTACCTTTGAATGTAAAATATATCCACATGCATTGGGCAGAGGTAGGATTCTGGACAACCACACGGAAGCACCCATGTACTTAGCAGGTGCACCCAAAGGGATGCGGCCTCTGACAGCAGGGAGAGGGTTCAAGAGAGAAATTCCTAACACAGAAATCTTACCCTCTGAAGGGTAATAGCAGTGGAGTTTGGAGGGCAGGAAGAGAGCTGGACACTTGTGAGAAAGTGGGTTTTAGAGAAAACTGGCTTTTTTGTTGTATTTGGCTAAGGCTGATTAAGCATTTTCTCTGGAGGCCTTTCAAGGGTTCCTTCCAAAAGTTTCCTCCATCTAGAGATGGGCGATGATATTTACAAGCTAATTGTTTCCACAGACTCTCCTGAGGTGCTTGTTAAAATGCAGAGTCCTGGGCACCACCCCCACTCCAGCTGTACTGAATCAGAATCTTGGGTGGAGGCATCTGAATATTTTTTTTTATAACAAGCTCTTCAAAGTGTTTCTGAAACACAGAGACATTTGAGGACATCTGATCTTGCACTGTCTTGAGCCCTAAAGTTTACCAACTGTGGGGCAGATTTTTATTTCCAAGCTTGTGAAATTGGATATTGACTTATGCAGGGGTGTTTTACTCACGGGCATAGCAAAGGCTGCTCCCAGGAGGCAGGCAAACAAAATCCAGGTCCCCATTTCTTGCTGGCCCTGAAATATAAGTTGACAGCTAAATCTCTTCGCAAATATAGACACAATTACTACTCCGTAAAACCCACATAATCCATATTAGTCTGTCGCTGGTAAAGAGGATGGGACCATTCTTTGTGAGGTTACTTCATTCACATGTGATTTCCAGTTTTCAGCTCATTTCATTGCTTTTGGAATGACGAGAGTGACAAGGATGCTTCTCACTTAGGTTGAGAGAAGAACAAATTGTAGAGATGTCAATCTATCACTACACTACACGATTTGGTTGCTACTCTCCTATACCTGTGTAGCCTGTGGATTCATAGAAGCTAAACGTAGCATATGATTAACGATCATAAAGAATAGAGTTGGCTCTAAAAGCTGAGGAGATCTTCCAGGTGCACAGTATTGGATACTTTCAGAACCAGGACGCACAAAAAAGGTTTTTTTTGGTACGGTGCACCTGAGCATTGCTGCTGTTAAAAACAAAGACTAATTGTCTGCGAAAAGGCCTTAAGGAATTTACCAAAATAGAGTAAGGAAGGAGTGGAGTGAAGTTCCAGGTGTTTCAACTGGTAGGCCTTCAGGCAAGTCCCTCAGGTGGCATCTCTGAGCTCCAGATCGGGAACAAAAGATGTGGTTGAATGGAAGGGAGAGGACAGTGCTAATATTGTGCGATCATGCCATGACTTTTGAATGACTTCCGCTTGAAAGAGTCCATGTTTAGTCAATGACATCTTCTTTTTGTTTGGCACTGTACCGTAATTATACACTTTATGACCCTTGGGACATGAAGCGGAACAGGCCATCCTAAAATACGCACACTGCTTTGTGGTACAAATTATTGACTATGAAAACTGTCAGAAGCAAGGTCTTGAATTTTGCAAAGAAAGTGAGTCTCCTGTGTAATAATGCCGGCTGTAAAAAGTACGCTGACGCGTTCTACCTCCTAAATCTGTTTTTTTTAAGTTTGAATTAATGAGGAAAAAACCCCACATTTAGTTGGTGGTTCTATTTGATGTAATTAAACAAGATGGCTTTTAAAGTCGTAGATAGATCACAGCCTGTGAAAAAGCATTTTTATCTTAATTGGCAAGTAATGAAAATAAATATTCTACTGTGAAATTTGGCCCCCAAAAGTGCTTTGGGATTCTGGAAGTAAAACTTAGTGAAATACAGACAGACACGTTGCTGCATTAGAGAGTAAAATAATCCATCTAAGTAATCGGAATCTAATTTAATTATGGTCCGACTGAAGAAGTAACTGAATATGACAGCATAAAATATTAGAAATGCAGAATACGTTTGCATCTTTTCGTACATGAAATGCAGTGAAGGAAATGAATACAACAGAAAGGATACCAAATTATGAATAAAATCCACATACCTTTGAATATGTGTGTTCAGAGGAAGTTTCTGTCTGAAACTCAGGGATGCTTGATCCTTTAGATTTCTTCCAACTGAGAGCTCAATTTATATCATTCACAGCATCTAGAACAACCAATCAGATTTCTGAAGGAAAATGTGTTGAGTATACCTAAAAACCCCTGTATCATGAAGTTTTAAAAACTGTGATCAAACAGAAGGCTGCATGTTGTGATTAGTGCATTTAGAGTCTTTCATTATGGGCAATAATAGGTTTAACCGGCAAAAAATTTCATCGGGTTGTTTGTAAGTCAGCAAATAAGTTGACTGCACATGCTGATCTATTCAAAGTTACGTTCAAGAAGAGCTATGTCATTGTCTGTTTCCTGGTTCTGGCAAACGTAACATTGTTCTTTACCCAAAAAGCTAGCTGGTTGAGTCTCTATAGTGTAATCAACATGTCCCCTAGGGTTCGTCATCCCTTTCAGATCAGGATAAGTTGACTAAAACCCCCATTCTGGTAAAACCCCAAAGCTCTCCCCAGTATTTCTCTGAGGGATTCTAAGTTCGGGATCCCCACTGCTCTATTTTCTACTTCCATTGAATGCATTTTCTCTGTTGCCTATGCCCATTCCTCTATCACCACTCCGGTGTCCACTGAAAGAGGGGACAAAGTTACTTCTCCTTGGCCCCATCCTACAACCCACCTGCCCCCCAAGGAACCACGAACTCAAGACGATCACAGTAGCAGACTTTTCCTGATGATCCGAAGGACGAGGCGAGAAACGTCACGCACCAGACTGCACACTTAAGCATTGTGTGTGGGACATTGCTGTGGTGCCCCCCTCCCACATAACAATCTCGCAGGATGATGGTCCTTTGTGCCCACGTCCTTCTGGCCCGATCCCACTTTCTCTTATAAGCAATTCCAAATTCCTCTTTCTTTCTCAGAGCCTCTTGACTTCCCCTTTAGGTGCCATTGTTCCCATGTTCTCAGCAGCCTCTCCTTTGCCTAAACAACCAAAACCGAAGCCCTTCTGCCTCTGAGAGGATCTATGATCTAGCTATTCATTTCATATGCCTTTTACCCTTCTACCTTAGTAAAGCACATGGATTTTTGTCTTTTACTCTAGGATCCGATCAGTTAAAAAGCAAATCTGTAACTGGTGATAAGAGGCAGCTGATGAGTTGTCTATCAACATTAGATCAGTAAAGGAAATGCTGAGTATATACCCAGACACCATTGGCAGTATAGCCAGAGATCTCTTTTACTACTTTAGTCATATTTTTAAAGTTTGTACACGTGCGTATGTTTTTATAAACATGCTCCGCATTGGCTGAATTAAATTCAAGGAGAAAATACCCATGAAAGGCAATGTAGTACTATTAAGAACTAGATCTTAGACTTACGTGGGTACTGACCCCAGCTTCACCAAGGGTTGAGGGACCACTGACAAGAGGTTTAGCCTATTCGAGCCTCAGTGTCCTCATCAGTGAAATGGGGATAATTATAGAATCTACCTACAAGGGTTAGTTGAAAACTAAATGAGAAGCATCTCTGGGGGAAATGGAAAGTTATCATCCTCCCCAACCCCATCACTTGGCGTGCAATAAATGTTTAAAACGTGCTAATAAATAAGATTCTAAGTTGATCTTCACAGATGAATTAGTAGGGAATGAATAACCACGGTGAAGAAAGGTAGCTCTTTCAGTCAGGGTTTCAATCGGGGAGAGAGACAGAGGGAGAGACAGAGAGAGATTGCAAAGAAGGAAGTGGAAGATTGTAACAGGAGAAAGGTATGAATGAAAGTCAATATAGAATATAGTCCTAAAAGCCATTTGTGTCCAGGTTTGCGTTTACTTGTGAATATGTTTACTGATGAATTCTATAAGAGGATTGGCATCCGCTTACTTAGAAGAGGAAGAGGTTGGGGGCGGGGGGTTGTGCAGCAAGGTGGTAAGGGAAAGGAGGAGGGAGAGGAAGGGTAATGTAGAATCACATCATGTTCTTTTTCAATCTTTTTTTTTTTTTTTCTAGTTTATTTAATTACGTATATTGGTGTCTGAAAGGATTCAGGACATGTTTTTCCTGCAAATTTGTGGTTAATCTCTATTAATAGGGTCATTGGTGAGCTATTAGTGGTCTTGTAGTTTTACCAAGTTTATCTCATTCCTTTCTGTCATGTTTCAAAAATGAGGGACTCATATTTGTTGACAAGGATCAACAGAAAGATCCCCCATTGTGGCCTTAATTTCTCTGGTCCACTGCATAGTGAGTTATAGCCAATTCACTATGGACAGTTGTTCAGGCTTTGATGGCAAATACAATAGAAATTATGTGGTTCTTTCTGTTTATTTTCTCCCACTGCACATTCTGAGTCATAGGGTATTAAAACATGGATCTCTCTGCTTGAAATTTCTTCCACTAATTTAGGTCCCACAAATGCAGTTTAAAAGTTAATGTTTGGGGGAAAACACAAAATTTCAATTACAATTTTTTCTATAAGCAATTATTTCAATAAGTTGAGTTTGTCAAAAAAGAAAACAGAATTCACTAGATTGACTGCTTATTTTGTTATGTAGAGGCTATAACATTTCCAAAGCATTTGTGTTCTTGTTTTCCTTGCACTTTGATATCAAATATTGTCTTCTCTTTAAAAAAAAAAACACACTATTTTAAACAATGGATCATAAGCATAAAATATTTTTTTCTATGGCATCATCTCTGGAATAGCTATAACAAGATGACTCCAGAATGTGTCTTCATTCACTTATTCACTCATTCCAGCTTTCCTCCAAAATGATGAGTGAATATACACCCTTATGAGTTATAGGTTCTCATTCCTGTTTTAAATGTTTTAAATGTTTATTTATTTCTGAGAGACAGAGAGACAGACTGCGAGTTGGGGGGCAGGCAGAGAGAGAGGGAGACACAGAATCGGAAGCAGGCTCCAGGCTCTGAGCCGTCAACACAGAGCCCGATGCGGGGCTCAAACTCACGAACTGTGAGCTCGTGACCTGAGCCAAAGTCGGACGTTTCACTGACTGAGCCACCCAGGCTCCCCTATAGGTTCTCATTCTTGCTTAGTGGAAAGGAGGAACATCCAAGAAAGGTTTATACAAAAATCACATTTGGGACATCTTCTGGTCCAGAAGCAGCTGCCCTAAATCCTTCCTGAGACCTGTAGGATTAAGCAGGGCCACAAAACAGGCAACTCATGTGGAAGGACCTCAGGCTGGGAGGCCGTCTACTCTTTTTGGCGCAAATCAAAACCCAGATGATTTCTGCCTGCCACTGGTCAGAGATGGGAAAGCATGCGTTAATCCCAGGCAGCAAGAGTCTGACGCACCACTATTATGTCTCCTCATTTTGGCCCAACTGAATATGTTTAACGAAGAAAGACCATGGTAGTCAAGAGCTCCAGCAGTCTTGAGCTCTGAGAGGAAGCATATTTTAAATGTCTTCACCTCCTGCAATGTCTGGCTAAATCGTATGCACTCAACAACAACAACAACAACAACAGCTTTTATAGTTATTCTTTCCCTTGACTTACAACTCATCACATTTTGCTCTTTCCATGTTGCTTATGCTAACGACTTCTCCCCTTCTATCTTGCTGCTCCTAATTCATAGTGTGCTGGGAAAATCTTATGTCCGAGCTTGTTAGAACTCTGTGTGGACTGCAAGTAAAGAGATGCTCTGAGTGGTGTTGGCTCCGGAGGCTCACGTGTGAGAAAAGCTCAAGCATTTCAGTCTTGTGGTGTTGACTTTTGGCTGCTGGGAGGACGTTTTGTTTTGTTTGGGGGTTTTAATGAACTTCCTGGTTTTTAGTGGGCATTGAGGTATGTGGGTGCTCTTTGGAGAAGCCGGGTAGTAGGAGATCCAGAAGCCTTTTTTAATCTATCTGAGCTCAACTCTTAAATCTCCTTTTAAAGCAGGTCCCAGATTGTCCAATATTCTGGAATAATTTCACGAGTGAGTACTCTGAAGTAACTGGAGCCAAAGTCGACTTTTAAACGTTTCTTCTGTTGATATTCACTTGTGAGAAAATATTGTTCTCTAGGCTGGTTTTTTTGCTGGAGTGTAGTCGTACCTTCTTCAGAACTCAGGTACACCACCACTAAGTGATTCCAGTAGACACAGTGACTTCCCTTTGCAACCCTGGGAAGTCAGATATTGTGTCTTATACTTCCCTGGGAGCTCTTTGTTACCTAGAAAAGTCTCTTTTACAAGCTAGGTGCTAGATGGATGTGTTGATCAATTGAAGAAGGTGTAGAGTTCTTCATGACACTATGAAAATATAAAAAAAAAAGTACCTAACCTACGTGGATTCTCCATAGACAAAGAAGCCAAGATTGCTTTTTTTTTTAATTTTATTTTCAAGTAATCTCTACACCCAACATGAGCTCGAACTCATGACCCTAACATCAAGAGTTGCGTACTCTACTAACTGAGCCAGCCAGGTGCCCTTGATTTCTTGATTCATTGATTTTGATGGGCCTTTTAAACAGCTAAGATGGATAACTCAGCATTGCTGTCAATGCTTCCTATAGACTTTCCAGCAAATGGACTTTAATAAGAACTTAAAAAGGGAGATACTGTAAAAGGTTTAGAATCCATTATCCTAGCCTCCTTATTATATTTGGCTGTGATCTGTTAGTTCAAACTGGAGTACACTATAAGCAAATATACTATGATAGATCTGCTTGATCTTTTCTTACTTGTCACTGAGTTTGTTTGCTTAATATAATAAAGTCATTATTATTATTATTATCTTAAGCTTCTAGAATGACTTCAGCCCAAGGAGCAATTTGAAAAGAATAACAACAAAATACCCTCTCTGGCTCACATTCATATACTTTATTGATTGCAACCCATTAGTACCTATTCCAGAATGCCCTGGAATTCGCTGTGTTTTCGGCCTGGTTGTTTGAAGCTATGAAAAAAAAAAAGAGGGAGCTTCTACTGGCTAACAGCATTTAATAAGTGTGTAGACTTGGGACAGGGAACATAAGATAAGCAATAACAGAGGTAAGGAACCAGAAAGCAAAAGGGCACAAGTAGGAAGAGAGAAATGCTGACATGGGGCTCGATTTCTGCTCAGGTCATGGTCTCACTGTTCGAGCCCCATGTCAGCATCCGTGCTGACAGCCCAGAGCCTGCTTGGGATTCTCTTTCCCGTTCTCTCTCTCTCTCTCTATATATATATATCCCTCCCCTTCCGCTCGCTCACTCTCAAAATAAACGAATAAATAAACTTAAAAAATCTGGGGCGCCTGGGTGGCGCAGTCGGTTAAGCGTCCGACTTCAGCCAGGTCACGATCTCGCGGTCCGTGAGTTCGAGCCCCGCGTCGGGCTCTGGGCGGATGGCTCAGAGCCTGGAGCCTGTTTCCGATTCTGTGTCTCCCTCTCTCTCTGCCCCTCCCCCGTTCATGCTCGGTCTCTCTCTGTCCCAAAAATAAATAAACGATGAAAAAAAAAATTTAAGAAGAAGAGGGAAATGCATTGGGGTGGGTAATTCAAAGTGGTGATCAAAGTTGGTGACAGGCTTAGCAAGCCACGGGTGTCCTGAAAAGAAAAGGTGACACTTATAAATGAAGCGGTAGGAAATAAAACAGCTACACAGGAAAGGGACATGGCCCTTGGTCACAAGCTCTGAACATAACTCTCAAAGGCCAAAATTATGATATGACTTCAGCAGCCACGATCAAGCACTTAGTATATGCCTAATGCAGTCATCGGCCTTGGAGTACAAATGTGAATAGGACAGTGGTCCAGTTCTCAAACTACTCACGGCCTCTGGAATTCTCCAGAGAATTCTGGGAGTGGGTGTTGGAACAAACCATCCGTCTTGGCTTCAGGAAACTAACACATTCTGTGCTTGCGTGTCCGAGGATGAGAAAGGGGTGACGGGGGAGCAGAGGGAGAGTAGTGACACCAAAAGGTATTAATTGTAATAAGACCACTTCAGTCTTTCAGCCTGTAGTCCTACACTTTCTGCTTTCGCAGTGATTGTGTATTCACCGATGCACACACACTGAGTCATCGGGGGAAGAGTTCATTATAGGCAGTGCCTGCTGTTTTCACGATGAACTAACATTGAGAACAAAATGTCTACCAACAGGGGGCTGCTCAAATCAACGATAGTACATGTAATAGTCAAAGGGAGGGTGTTAGTCTGTATTTGTTGACATAGAAAAATGTTTGTGACATGTAGTTAAGTGACAAAAATATTCAGAGTTCGCTTTCTCTAAAACAATTCTTTCTCCTCCTCTTCCTTCTTTTCCCTCCCTCCCTCCCTCTCTTCCTTTTTCTCCATTTGAGGAGATCGTCACCAAAATATTAACAATGCTTATCTAAGAGTCTCATTTCTGAAAGTCTCTGGGAAGCCAAGAGTTTATTTTATTTATTCTAAATAATCCATGAGTAGAAAGAATGCAGGGGAGACACAAGAGGTTTGGGGTATAATTTCTCATTTGTGCTCAGTAAGAGTGATGAGTGACAGGGCTCTGTTTCCCATAGGCCCTGGGTTTATATAATATTCATTCCCGGAGGGAAAAAACAAAAAGCCGAACATAAACTCAAAGACAAAAACATGACTTTTTAAAGCGACAGGGCCCCTTTTAGATTAGTAGTAGAAAATATCCTAATAATATAAGCATGCACCGAAAGGGCTCATACCGCTTGTAATTTGAAAGATATGTAAACATTTGCTAAATATCTGGTGGGTTATAATTAACTGGTAACTGTCGGGAGCGAAAACATTACATCTGTGTTAACAGAGATAACACGGTAACGTAAAAACAAGCATTTTGATTTCTGCCTATTGGGCAAAGTACACCAGAGTAAGTTGCATTTACCTACCGGGGTTCAGCATACGCAAGCACAGACTGGTGTTTTCTGAACGAAAGCAACATGCGATGGTGGAGAGAACTTTTCTTTGGGAGGACAGCCTAGCTCAAAATTGTGGCTGGGTCACTGGCCCGTGACGCCTGACCTCAGCCAGTATTCCTGACTCTTTGGCACACTTACCTTACTGCCCGGAAAATGGGGCGACATCAGTAAGGGAAAGCTAATGATGTCATTCACTGTACATTCACCCCTTCATAAACATGATTTCCAATATTAATAGTGGCAATTTTAGTAATTTCTTAAGGGGAGAAAGGAGCAAATTTTTTTTAATTATTTTTTTAATGTTTCTTTATTTTTGAGAGAGACAGAGACAGAATGCGAGTGGGTTAGGGGCAGAGAGAGGGAGACACAGAATCCGAAGCAGGCTCCAGGCTCCGAGCGGTCAGCACAGAGCCCGATCGATGCAGGGCTCGAACCCACGACCTGAGCCAAAGTCGGACTGGCAGCCGACTGAGCCACCCAGGCGCCCCAGAAAGGAGCAAATTTAATGCAGCATAGGAAATAAGTCACCGCCTAAAAGGTTGGAAATGATCGTTCTCACATATGTGCTCTGCAGAGTTCCCCCTATTGTTCTTGGACAGAACATTCTTATATTGTTACACTTTAGTGGCATACTTTTCATCTCCGTCTCTTAACGAACTGCCCACAGGGATATAAATACAAAATGTCAGAATATGATTCTTATGCGATCCGCCCATTCTACAGGAAACAAGAGATAGATATGTGGTGGGACCTAAGTATCAGCGATGTGTTGTCACTCCTGGTAACCACTCCAGTTATTGTTTTAGCTCCTGGCCCCTCGAACACGGACAGAGCCCTGAGCAGCTGTCCAGCAAGCATCTTCTTCCTCACATCCCTAACTTATGTCAAGATCCAGTGATAGCATAGCCTGTTTAAGAAAAAAAAAAATCGCATCATGAGTGGTATGTCTGCTTGGGATACTAACTAGATTTGAAGCTGACATAATTCAGCGGAATGAAATAAATCAGGAAGAAGACCAGAAATTAATTTAATTCTACTCACATACATTTTATTACAGGCAATTTTTACTTGAAATGAAATTAAACAGATGCACTAGTCTGTCACAGAAATCTGTGGAGTAAGTGCAAGTCTGTTCTAATTGTAGACAACATCTCCCCCAGGATAATGCTAACATAGTTTTACAAAAATAGTAACAAAATCTCCATTTTTTTTTTTTTTTGGTCTTACCTAGTGCATCATCTGTATCATCATCATGCTCTCAGGAGAATCATAGTCACGTGCTAAGTTTATTCTCAATAGCATTTCACACATCTCTAGAATTTTTAAAGCATTAGTATAAAGTATTTATTGAGTATCTGTAACATCCAAGGTGTAGGACACATATAAATATATGGCACAGTATCCATCTGATGGAATAGTATTCAGCCATAAAAAGGAATGAAGTGTTGGGGCACCTGGGTGGCTGAGTCGATTAAGCCTCTGACTCTTGATATGGGCTCAGGTCATGATCTCACGGTCCGTGGGTTCAAGCCCCATGTCAGCCCCATGACAGCTCAGAGCCCGGAGCCTGCTTCGGATTCTGTATCTCCCTCTCTCTGCCCCTCCCCCCCAAATATAAATAAATGTTAAAAAAAGAAATTATTAAAAGATCTATGAAAAGAATTTTAATCGTTTTATTGATACAGAATTTACATATCATAAAGTTCCCACTTAGAATGTACAATTGAGTGAGTTTTAATATATTTTCTGTATCTTTGCAAAGTTTGCAACCTTCCCCACAGTCTAATTCCAGAACATTTTCATCACCTGAAAAGAAATCCCATGCTCCGTAGCAGTCTCTTTGTGTTTCCCTTTCCCCAAGCCCTAGACCACCACAGTCTAGTCTCTATCTCTGTGGATTTGCCTCTTCTGGACACTTTGTGTAAATGGGATCATAGAACACGTGGCTGGAAAGTGACTCTGAGAACCTGTGCTAGAGGGTTTCTCAACATTAGCAGTCTTGGCATTTGGGACTAGATAATTCTTTATTATTATTATTATTATTATTAACATTTGTTTATTTTTGAGAGAGAGAGAGAGAGAGAGAGAGAGAGAGAGAGAGAGAGAGAGAACGAGTGGGGGAGGGGCAGAGAGCAAGGGGGAGACAGAATCCGAAGCAGGCTCCAGGCTCCGAGCTGTCAGCACAGAGCCCGATGCGGGGCTGGAACTCAGGAACTGTGAGATCGTGACCTGAGCCAAAGTTGGATGGCGAACCGACTGAGCCACCCAGGCGCCCCTGGGGCTAGATAATTCTTTATTGTGGTGGGGCTGTCCTGTGCACTGTAGGGTGTTGAACAGCCTCCCTGGGCTCCACCCACTAGATGCCCATAGCACCTCCTCCCCAAGTCGTGACAGCCAGTAGTGTCTCCAGACATAGCCACATGTTCCCTAAGGGAGAATGGAACAAAATTGCTCCCAGTGGAGGACCACAGACCCACAGTTACCAGAGAATTGAACTGGGTGTAGAGGTACAGGAAGTGGAGTCGGTACCTGGACCCAGCATGCAGTTGTGGAAAGACTGGTGTTTCAGGGTCCTTATAGGTCCAACCATAGAGCCCCAAGTTCTAAAATTCTGTCATTCCTTTTAGAAATGGTAAAGAGGGGCGCCTGGGTGGCTCAGTTAGTTAAGCGTCTGACTCTTGATTTTGGCTCAGGTCATGATCTCCCGATCCATGAGTTCGAGCCCCACGTCGGGCTCTGTGTTGGCAGTGTGCAGCCTGCTTAGGAATCTCTCTCTCCCTCTCTCTCTACCCCTCCCCTGCTTGTGTGCTCTCTCTCTCTCTCTCAAAATAAATAAATAAACATTAAAAAATTTTAAGAAAAGAAAACGATAATGGGTCGAATATGGAAAGCAGCACAATAGTTATTTGGATGAAATTATTGTTCAAAAAATATCCAGTGGGGAAAAAATCACCCATTTTTCAGATTATTTAAAAAGCATTGAAATGATTATGAAAAAAATAAAAATAAATGGAATATGCCAGTGGTCTTCTTCATTATAAAGGGTTGGAACCATGCGTGCTGCTAATAATTGAAAAAGTATACAATTTAAATTTTGCATGGTCTATGTTAGAACCGTAAAGGTGTATTAATGGTTCCCAAGGAGTTTTGTTTAACTCAGTGCTAAAATTGACCCCTGAGCAAGCAAAAAGAAGCATGAGATTTGATTTATACTGTGGCTAATGAAAACAAGTGGGCAATCATAGTTTAGTCATATCTTATTAATCTAACATAGTCTAAGGAATGGAGGAAAGAGAGGAAGTGTGTGGGCTTCAGAAATACGTAAATTTCAGAAAAAATCACTTTATAAGCGTGACCTTTTTTCTCTTCCGAAATGCATGAGTGGAGGAGGCCCTCATCCTCCCTGGTAACTCATTTATAAATGAATGGGCTAAATCATGCCTTCCGTCCATTCTCATTCTCAAGATGTGCCCTGCTCAGACTGGGACTCTTAAAAGCCTTGAGGTAGTCACTGGCATGTTTCCTGCTCTCAACTTTAAGGAAGAGTTTTCTCAGTCTGCCTTAGGCTATGCAACCTTGACCATCTAGGACTTGACACCCTGTGTATGGCAGTGATATCAGGCTAGTTAATTCGCTCGGATTGTGTTTACAAATAGGTTGCCCGTTACACGGCGTCTTCTCTGTAAATACAATTACACAATGTTGCTTTTAGCTTTTGTTTATATCAGGGATATAATTGAGTGCCTTAAACTCACTCCGACTTATATTTATTTAGGGGCGCCTGGGTGGCTCGGTCGGTTAAGTGTCCGACTTTTGATTTTGGCTCAGATCGTGATCCCACGGTTGGTGAGTTCGAGCGCAGAGCCTGCTAGGGATTCTCTCTCCCTCTCTCTCTGCCCCTCCCCTGCTCGCTCGCTCTCTCTCTCTCTCTGAAAAATAAAATAAAAATAAACATTTAAAAATTTATTTAAAAATACATGTTCTAAACATGTTTTCAAGATTTTATAATGATCTCTCTCTCTCTCTCTCTCTCTCTATATATATATATGAATAATGGTGAGACATCTGAAGCCATATCATGGTAGAATTTCATGTGATCATTTTCCTAGCAACACTTCACAATCTGAGAGCAAGTAATATGGGGTCTCTTTGCAAAATGCTTCTGGGAAGGCCACCTCTGACTTCTTTAATGTTAATTTAGAAAAAATTGGTTTCACTGCAGACTATACTTTAGAACTACTCGTGTAGCTTTTCAGTAGTACTCATGTCTGGGTCCCATTACACCTGGCTTCTGAGTCAATTGGTCTGAGCCTCGGTTCCAGCTCTCACTGTAGTTTCGAATCACCTGGGGACCTTTCAAAAATGTCGATGGCTAGGAACATCTCCAGATACCATGTTTCAGTTGAGTCTGATGGGGAGCCAGGGTTGAGATCCGTGGGATACGATCTCCCCGCCTGTCCTATATGTCTCTTAGACCTTTACTATATTTGAAAAGTTGTAGTTTTATCAACTTTGCCCGTATCAGCGTTTTTTTTTTCTTTTAAGTGAACTTCCATTCGGTGCCATGGAGGGAATTAAGAACACGCAACACGATGACATTTGCAATCAATTATAAAATAGTAGAATCAGACCCACAGTTTTATCATGATGGCAGACCGCAGTGAGCACTCAGCAAACGTTTGCTGACGGTGGGCCAAAAAAGTGTTTCATATGGTCTCTTGGTTTTTTCATGAGTATTTCGTTTCAGACTGGATCTTTCACGGAGTCTGCATGAGGCTGCTAAAATGTTGATTCAATGAATGGGTACATTTCATGAACCACCCATCCGAGTGGGTTACTTTGGGTGCAGCTGTTTTGATTTTTCCTTCCTCTGACTATATGGTTTTGTTCATGTAATCAAACAGAGCCAGTCGTTTGGCCGTTTTGTAGACACATTTTTGTGTGGCCAAGAATCCCGTTTGCGGTGGCCACACCATAACTAGATTTGAATGTGGAACAACCCAGCACACAAGTGCTAATTTGAATCAATTGTTCAGATTGCCAGCACAAAAACCAACGTGACCTCCACCACTGGGTTCAATTAGCAACCCTGCAGGCGAGGAACT